AAACAGAACTAACAACAGTTATTGCAAAACTAACTGAAATAAAATAATAATTATCAAAAATAAATAATCGTTTTTGTAATCATTACGTTCTCACCCTGTGGTGGAAAAATATATGAGCTATGTGTCGGTTTAGGGAAATACCTGTAAAGGGCGCATCATACATGTGAGGTTATCTGACGCAGAGACGCAAAGCAGTTTATAGCAGAGTCCTGCACGGGTCCTGTTAGGTAAACCTGCATCCGCAGTACACAACAGAACACCTGACCCGTTATCCGACAGCAGCCAGCACCAATTTATTTCTGTACCCGACCCGTTTGACAAAGACACCTGAACTGCGCCCGCATTAAATAGGCTACTGCATCAGTAAGGCAAAATTATTTATTTTCTCATGTAACACAAGCAATCAAACCAAAATAGGCATTTTAAGTTGGTGCTTTGAAGAAAAATAGACAAGCAGCGCAACGGAACAAAGAACGCGCATCCTTACTGTAAACAATAAAAACCTTTGCCCACATCTTGTGAACAGTCCGCCAGGCTGTTTTGAACAAATGTGCATAAACTACATGCTTATAATTCTTCATACAAGAAAATAACCTATTTAAATATGCCTTTAATGTTAAATGCCATTGTCGCTCCTTAAACGCTACAGTGTGTGGCCGTTAGTCCTTTACAGAAGCATTAAAAATAAAACTTTACCTCTTAAGACCCGAGAAAAGTTTTTTTCATGTCTTTACATTGTTTAGAGCAGTGGTTCCCAAACGTTTTGCAGCGTGCACCCCTTTCTAATGTTTGACACATGTCAAGCACCCCCACCACTGTACTCCGGTTAAACTTGTATAAATACAAGTATTCACTGTATACAGGGCTTGACATTAACTCTTGCTCACCAACCACTGTGGCTAGTGGTTTTCCAAAATGACTAGCCACTCAGCATTTTCACTGGCCACAATTTTGTTGCTGGATTGGAGAAACAGAAGCTGCTGAAGTGGCATTTAGATGCATTTACACCATAGACTGTGATTTACACAGACAATTTAATGAAGCTGAAATGTAGCATGAATGCATTAACACTGCAAAATTACAACAGCATAAATAATGCTGTGAGCTTGGTGTTTTACATCAGGTTTTTTTATTTACAAATATGAAAAGTTGTAAAAAATACAAAAAAAGTTACTTTTAAATTTCAAAGTAACCCGCCAGAAGGTGGCAGCAAGTTGACTGTCTTAATGAGTGAGTCATTGAGGCATTCAAACGATTCATTCAGACGGCTGATTCATTCAAGAATGAAGCAAGCGCTTGTCTTTATGAATGGACCACTGAATCATTGACTCAAATTATTAATTCAAAAATGCGAATAATTCAGTAGCCTAACGAAACACCGCTGACGCTGTGTGTTGCTCAGAGATGCGCGACAGTTCTGCTGCTAAGTTTGTTTGGAACTATTTTCGTTAAACAAATCGAGCAAAAACAGTCACATTGACATTATTGTACTAAAATGTATGCCCTAAGTCACTTAATATTAACTACTCGTTTGAAGTCTTGTTTAAAATCAATGTCGAATTTACAATCGTACTGATTTTCGCGGAAACTGCACTCTCTTAGTCGTGTCATGTTAATTAATTAGGCTAAGCTTTATGTAATAAATATAAAAACTACATTTTTTTACCGCAGTATGTTTCTTCTGTGTGCAGTTGTGTTAATTTGTTTCGATTTCTCCATGAGATTGTCTCACGTGAGTCTCAACTGCCTATCTCCTGGCATCAAAACCCAAGACTGAGTGTGGTTCCTAAGATGAGCAGCAGACGACACCACACTTGCCCCTTCAGAAAATGCACACAGATCATCAAAAGCATTCTCTCGCGCACCCCTGCTAGTCGGTCTGTGCACCCCTAAGGGTGCGCGCACCCCAGTTTGGGAACCGCTGGTTTAGAGCATAAAAAAAAAATGTACATTTTTTTTTTTTTAAATGATATTTCATTCATAAGTTATGCTATGTCCTCGGTAGAGGACATCGGGACTAAATTAAAAAAATAAAATAAAAATAAAAACTAAACTAAAACTAACAAAATTATTAACAAAACTAATAAAAACGAAACTAAATTTTATTGCAAATTTGAAAACGATACATAAATAAAACAAATTTAAAAATGCAATCTAGTCGAACATACCGGCTAGTGCTGCAGGTTTATTGGCTCACTGACGCTGATGAGATTAACCCCTTAGGTATCGAAATTTGGTACCGAACGACGAGACGTTTTTCAATACTCGATGGTATCGAGGCATTTCGGTCGGTGCCTAAAAAGTATCAAACTCGATACCCAGCCCTACCTTTGACATTCTTGACATCTAAAAGTTTAATTTCATTTTTTAATCACATTGGAATCAAAAAGAATCGTAATAAGCAGAATCAGAATTGATAAAATTCAATACCCAACCCTAGTCTAAAGCTAAAAACAAACAAACAAAAAAAATCTGTGCCATCATACACCAATGCGATTTTCTAGGAAATCTGTAAACTAAAATCTGCAGACTGGCTCTGCCTTTTGGCAGCTAGCGTTAACTTGTCGAAACTGTCAATTTGGGGCAAAAATCCGGGCAAAAGTTGTGTAGTGTATTTCAGCCTTTAATGTCAAAAATGTTGAGAATCCCTGCCCTAAGTCAAATAGCGGTGATATAGAACCCGAACAAGAGAACCTAATACCTTTACTGGACATAATATGTGAAGTCCTGATTCTCCCGCAGCAGACAGCATGCCTGTTAAAGCCAACCCTACCCACTGTCATTATGCGAGCGCTGTGGAACCACAGCTAAAATTAGAACAGGACTGAGCTCCTCAGACAAGCAGCGGCATTCCACCATGCATTTCTGGGGGAATATGATACCAGGTCTTGCTTGCATTCTATTCTAGAACATTCTGGGCTACGATAATCAAAACCAAGAAAACAGCTGTAATGGTCTGGATCTGCCACGCTCAATGAACTCATAATAAAATAAAGAGAGAGGCTGCGAGAGGCTCACCTTTATGGAACTTCCATGGATGAACTTCTTGATGCTGGACAGAAGGCCCTTGCTATCACCTGAGCACTCCTCCATCTCGGAGTGCTTCCGCTTGGTCCGGGCCGGGCTGGGACTGCGGGCGAGGTTTGGCTGCTGAGAAGCCTTGCGCATTCTCAGCTTCATTTTGTTAAGAGTCACATGTAAGACTGAGGAGAGAAAGAAGACAAGACAGAGAAGCTCATACACAAGGTATAGAAAGAGAAAAAGAGTAACACAGGAGGAAATCACTCCATTTAACAACGACCTTGAGAAGTCCAACTCCACTCGCTGGTTCTCACACACAGGTAAATAAATCACACTTTTAATGGTTTTGAATTAATTATGGTGCTTAACTCAGTTTTTAAAAGTGCAACACTTCAGCCAAGAGCTCTAGCCACAGACATCTGGATGTATTCAGGCAACATATCCTCCAACATGGTTCATCATTCAGTTGAAGCACCTCCACAGCAAAGCACTCTCAACTACAAGTGCGTTATCATTTCCCACATACAGAAGAACCCTAAATGGGCACACTTTTGGATGAACTTTCTTGCTTCTGCTGTACACAAAAGAAGATACTTTGAAGTGTTTGCAGTGCAACTATTTTTGTCCTTTTAATGAAAGTCAGTGGTGTCCAAAACTACACTGGAACCTGTTGAAATTCAGGGACTTTCATGGACATTAAAAAAATAAATAAAAACAAACAAGAAAAAAAAAAAGTCACAGAAACAGGTGTGTACTGACACAAAGGTGAGTACATTTTCATTATTGGCAAAAAGTCTTTTTCAGTCTTATTTATCTGTAGCTCAAGCAAAGAGAAAGAAAGGTGATCACAGATCAACAGCAAGCAGCAGTTTCTTGCTAAACACAAAAAAAAGAAAGAAAAAGGGGAAAAAAAGAGAGAGAAATGAAAAAAGGACAGGGGGAAAAAAACAGCTAATGTTTTCCTGATGTCGAGGAAATGTCCTTCTCTTCTTTAAAGGCAACCCTGCACATTTGGGGGGGGGATCCTGAAATGAACTACATTACTTGGTCGTGTGTCACCCCTCCTCAAAGCATGCTTATGTAACAATAGACCACAAATGTGCTCTAGCATTAGTGACCCGTCATGAGTTACGCCAGCTCTGACTGTACCTTACCAATACTAGCCATGAAAAATCTAACTACAATGATATAGAAAAAAAATGTACAATGTACAATAAAAGGAAGAAACACTTTTCCAGGGTATCAAGAGATTTCCAAGGAGCTGGAAAAATCTTTGTAGATCTAACACTGGAGTAGATTTCCTACGTCCTCCCAGATGCCTTTGTAATTACACGCAGGATCCACTGATACACAAATACACAGAGAACCCAAATTGCACTGAACATAAGAACTAACCATCTACAGAAAATGAGTTTTACATTTTAGGAGAGAGAAACAAAGCTCCTCCTGTGACGGCTGCAGTGTGCAGGAGTTAGACAGAGAGAAGCAGCGAGGACGACGACAAGACATACTGTCTGCAAGCATGGAAGCATGTAAGAGACCAGCCTGGTCTCATTGTTTATACGTAGGTATTAATACGTAACATTTACAAGCATAAAATGTACATTTTTGTACGTTTTTATTGATGGTAAAACATACAATTTAGATGTATTTCAACGTTTAAAACGTATAAGTCGCTACGTATTTTTAGCTAAAAAAAAAAAATCTTATTTTATATCATTGATATTCGTATCAATGCATTTTTATCACTTTATCAATAAGCGATTTAGAATTTTAGACCCCTTAACCTACCTCCAAACCTTAACCTACCCATTTTATAGCGAATATGCATTTTTATCATTTTAACAAATAAGCGATTTAGATTTTAAGACCCCTTAACTTACCTCCAAACCTTAACCTACCCATTTTATAGCGAATATAAAAGGATATAAAACGCAATTGACCAAAATATGCAGGAAAATAACCATTTTAGCAACAATATAGCATTAAAAATATTTTTATAGTCGCTAATCCCACTCCCACCTCTAAACCGAAACATAACTATTTCTGTACAGTATACCGTTAAAGAAAAACATGACAGACAGATAAATGCAATTACAATCATTTAGGGTAAACGTACCTATTAAACTCACGTACCCATTAAGCACACTTCCATATTTGAGCTCAGATTATAAAAAGAAAAAATAATGTATTATCATACTTGATGTCTTAACCAATTGATGTGTTTGTTCCTACATACCTCCTGTAATTTCAAGTCAATTAGATCATTGCACGCTGAGATATGGGTCTCCCTGATATAAATGCATCATTCATTCATTCACACTGTCCGGCGGCCATTTTGAAAGCTGTCTGAAAACTTTCACCAAAAGAGTAGCTCCTTAAATGTGCATTTTTGTAGATATTTAAGCCTTTATTTTGGGTAAATTTCACTACTTACTGTAAAATTAAGAGATTAATGTTTAGACTTTTGCAGATTATAACCTGGAACTTGGATGTGGGAAATAATTACAGTTAGATCCAAAAGATAGTTTTAGCAACACAGCGCAGATGCTACAGAACACAGTTAGCTGACTAGCTGTATAAGATTGTGTGCTACGCTAATATATTACTTCACAGGCTTTACTGGCTTGTACTATTAAATCCATAATATTATAAATTGACAGTTTATTGCTGATCTGTGGTTTTATACGGCTGTATTTTTTAAAGATTTCATATTTAAAGGTGAGCTTAAAGGGTACACTACTATGAAAATCACACAGCTTCAGTGTGACATCAATAAGAAAAAGTATAATTTCATACATATTTTAATATGAACAACTATTATTAACAATATGACCTAGATTATTTATTTTGCAAAATCTTGTCATTTTAATAAATATGACATGAAATTTATTAAAACATTGTTGCTGCTCCAATTAAGCTCAGTGTGCTTTCCCGTGAACTGCCAAAATACAGACAGCATGTTACATGTCCCACCAGAGACAGTAATATACTGGACCATTGTTACTAACAAATTCCTTGTATGTGCAAGCATACCTGGCAATAAAGCTCTTTCTGATTCTGATTAAGCTCTTCCACATTTAACGTCCATGTAAATACTTCATAAACAGACTTTTAATATTAAGTGATGGTTGTCACTTTAAGTTAATTTATTTTCTATAGATTCTGTCAACTCAAAGATTGTGTAGTGTATTCCAGCCTTAAGAGACTATATATAAGTTGACATCCATTTAATAAGAGGCTACAAAATGAGGCTAGTTTCTGTGTTCATCCCTATGAATGAAATGTTTTATTGGTTTGTTTTATTTGATTTTTGAATTTGTGTTACTTAGCTGAACGCAGACAAGTCTAGATGTTGCAATGTGCTTAAATGACACTTCATTATGAATACGTAATAAGTACGTTTTATAGAACCACATTTTACGTAAAATACATATGAATTATCACGAGATCACGTTAAAGAGATAGGAGAGGAGAGGAATGGCGAAAAGTAGAGAGAGAAAGGGTACAGATGGTAATACATCTCAGCTTTTTCCTTAACCACAAATGGTGACTCATCCACTGCCTCGAACAGACATCATGCCAAGACAGCTACCTCACAACACTGAGAAGCTGAAGCCTTTCTTCTAGAACAGGGGTGGGCAAACTTGGCCCTTCCAGGCCAATTTCCTTCAGAGTTTAGCTCCAACCCTAATCAAACACACCTGAACCAGCTAATCATTGTCTTCAAGACTACTAGAAGGCTACAGGCAGGAGAGGTTTATCAGGGTTGGATCAAATCTCTGCAGGAAATGGCCTGGAAGGGCCAAGTTTGCCCATCACTGTTCTAGAAGAACAGAGGCACAGTGATATTCAACAGTCTTCAACAGCACAGTAAGAATCAATGAAGCCAAATTTCTGGTTTAAATAACATCAGCAGACATTAAACACCCTAACAGCAGGAAATAAAACATACATTTAATCCATCAAAATTAAATGAAGATTAATTTGCAACCATTGCTACTGTGACCCCTCTGACCTCTTCCATCACAAGGTTTCTGAAAGTCAATTCTTTCTGACAGCAAAAAATACATAAATTCATAAATTAATTAAAAAAATATATACAAAGTTGGTTTGAAACAAAAACATGCCCTGACAGACCGACAGCAAATCCAAGGCTGCTGACACATTTCCAAGAACTGATCTCCCTAAGGCTTTTTTTTTGTGTTTGCTCAGTTTGACTATGACATATATTAAAATGACTATCATCTCTCTGAGGAATCTAGAACTTCACACTTTAAGTGCATTGTAAACCTGAAAGTGTAACTGATGAACATGGATTCGTTATTTAGCATAACATGTCAAAGAACACCACAAAAAGGCTTCACAGACAATACCAATTAGGGCTGCCACTAACGACTATTTTTATTTCGATTAATCTATCGACTAATTTATTGATTAATCTAACCGATTAATTTCCCACAAAAAATCTACAATTTTACTTAAGAATATTTTATTAAACCAAATGAAATCCAAATTTCTATTAAATCCTGTTTTTAAAGCAAAAGTAAAGTGCAACATAGAGTGCAAGAAGCAAGTGTCCATCTCATGGCCCAAATCACTGAAATCAAAGTTCAGTATTATAGTGTAAGAATGACAACATATCCACGTGTTCTAGTCTACTAATAATAAAATTACAATCAAAAAACAAGAATGACTACATATCCACGGGTTCTAGTCTACTAATAATAAAATTACAATCAAAAAACACTTTTTAAAGGAGTATTTACCAGGAATGTTATTTACCAGAATTTATTTAGGAGAAAAATGTAAATGTGCAGTATTTCTGAATTTTTATTTATTTTTTAATAAAAATCAATTAATTGGAGATGCTTTGATTTTAAAATGGAATGGAACCATTAAAATGGAATCCAGAAAATAATGGAAAACAGAATTTGGTAAAGATAAAACTGTAAAACTCAATTAATTAGACAGACTTTTTGATTAATACAATTTAAATTTAACCATTAAAACAGTATAGAAAAATGAAAATGGAAAAAAAAAAACTGAATTTGGAAATAAAACAGATTTCATAGGGACCTATAATTATAATTAATTTCGTGGTAATAAAAATAGATGTAATTGAACAATAGACTAAAATTACTTAAAATACATATATAATAGCAATGAGGCAATAATTAAT